AAAGCCTCCCCGAGATTTATTTTTGGGATCGGACTAGGCACAATAGTAGCAGCCCTACATGATGAAACTGGAACTGCCTTGCAGTGCCCTCCTAAACACAGCTGTACCCTTCCAAGCTCACTGCTTTTCGGTGTACTTAAAAAGGTGTAACTCTTTACGATTTATAGAACAGTGCTAAATAAAGGCAGGGTGGGACAGTAGGAAAAGCAAAGGTGATGTTGGGAAGGAATGCAGAAAATGCTCTCTGCTTGGCTTGCAGCTTATCTCCGTGAGGACATTTTCCCCTCTATAAGAGCTTTGATATGTAATATGTCGAGTTGGGTGGAAAGCACTTGGGTGTTAAAAGGATTCCACAGCTCTGATTCATGTACCCCTTTGTCATTTTTAAAATTACACACTTCCCTCCAGGCTTCTTCTACATGATTCAACAGTGCAGACCTAAGAAAGGTTACACCCTTCTAAACCCATCAACCTCAATGAACCCGGAAGGGTGTCACTCTGCTTAAGAGGGCACCACAAGCCAGTTCTGTGTTTAAACAGGCTGCCATTTTGTCTAGTCTGGCCCTCCACACACAAGCCGCATTATAAGACATTCTGCTCCACGAAATAACACTTTGGATGAGGTGGGAAGACTGTACATCATCGCACACTGTGGCATTATGTTTACATTGCAGGTGTGTTATTCTGCTGCTTTAGGCAGATGCTAATAGGGCGGCAGACAATCTCCCATGCCCAGATCCAAGCACTGCTGGGGCTCTTTGCTCCAATGGGAGAAAAATGGGATGCAGGGTGCTGGATGTTCCAGGTGTGATGTCCCCGCCTCAGCCTCCAGACATTGTGGCAAGAGAGACTAGATAGCTAGACAGGCACACTGACCTTTCTTCCTGTGTTTACTCTTCTGCTACTGTCGCCTTTGAAACGTAGACTGTGTTCTCAGGGACAATTTCCTTCCTTCCATTTACTTTCTCAGATGAAGACAAACTCTCTCCCTGCACACAACAAGAGGGGCGGCATGCTGTGCTCTCTTGGAACCATGAGGCAGATTGCCCTCTCGCCATCTGCTTCCATCCTTTGGCTAGTAAGTTAGTACCCTATCCTGTTACTACTCTTTCCTATTCAAAAGTGTACTTCTCAAATAAAGAGAGAGGTATTTCTCTTCTAAACTTGCAACGTGGCTCTGTGTAGCTCTAAAAGCTGGGTGACCTGGTAAAGTAACGCTGTTGCGTTTGTTGTGTTATTTAAGCACTCTGCTAACTAGTGGTAACTGGACTAACCACACTGGCTAACTCCAATACAGGAAGCAGTGTTGTGCGATGTCACTTCTGACTGAGTACCCGGAAGTGATGTCACGGCACCCTAGGAATTCCATAGAGATCTAGGGAATTCCTAGAGTGCCATGATGTCACTTCCAGGTACTCAAATGGAAATGACATTGCATTGTCACTCCCCAAGTCCCAGTAGTTATCAGCACTTGGCTGCTGACCCTGATCCTGCATGAGCTGCAAGTCACACTGCACTTATAATATCACTCTTCTCGGCCATTTAGTGGGCTGAACCTTACAGATATGTGTCAGAATCCACAGCCAACAACGTAGTACATGCTTTCATGAAAGGTAATACTTTATCGAAGAGCTATAGATGCATTAACATAGGCACTGTTAAGAATGACGGCTGCCCATGGGGCACAATAGGATAAAGGGAATTTGTATGCACACACACCCCCCCACAGCTTTGGCTGTTTAGCGCTGAAGCTGGGAACGAAATGGTTCCCAAGAAAACCAGACGTCAACATCACCACCTGCAATACTTAGAGATAAGCGTCGTAGCAGCAAAGAAGCACATAAGGAATGCAAAGGCATAAGGAATTAGAAGAGAACGAACCTCCCCACCCCCATGGCAGCATAGCTGACAATATGGGGGAAACATCCACCCAATTCCCAATGAACTTATTATACCTCCTTGAGAAATGCACATGCTGATCTGTTCAATACATTGAAATAAATGGAGAAACGTGTGGGCAGGAGACCTCTATAGCTCATTAGCAACTGATGAATATGAGAAATTGTCTCAAGCTTTCAAACCTCCACAGAGATAATACTGAATACCAAAATGGACCAACAGCTTGTGGAATGGTCACCTTTTCTACTAACTGGATCCTTCCCTTGTGAAATTGGCTTTCCCACTAAAAGTTTAACACTGCGGTAGAAACAGCTACAGCAGTTTTGTAACACTTTTTTTTGGTGAAGAGTACAACATCATCAAGCAACTGACCGAGAGAACGGGTTGCAGTTTGTACTTGGTTACACCCTGTCATTTGCTTCAGCCTCATCTGCTGAAAATAAACTTAGAAGTAAATGCTCTGAACACCACAGGCAATATTTCTATAATTAGCCCCAAATGTTTTGAAAATCACACATGAATTACAACATACAGATGGTTATTCTGGAGACAGAACACATGACTTATGGAACTGTTCCTTGTAGTTGATCAACCTGACTGGCTAAACCCTCATTCCTACCACAAACTGGCTGTTTTAGCCGTGGACCACATCCAAAGTGTCCTAGTCTTACTGAACTGCAAATTACTCCAGAAGGGTAACCATGTTAGGTCTGTTGCAGGTCCCATGGCACTTTGGAGACGAACAAAATTTGTTCCTGGATAAAATTTTATGAGGAAATGAGAATTCCCTCATGAAAACATGTGCTGGAAAAAACCATTAACCTGTTAAGTGCCACTGGAACTATTTTATTTTGCTTAGCAGAACTTTCCCTGAAAATGAGTGGTTTTGTTTTCCATTTAAAAAATAATAATGTGACCCTTATATCAATATAAGCATGCACACACAAAAATGTTAGATTTAGAAGGTTCCATAAACTCCAGTTTCATTTTTTTTCAAAAAAAAAAAGGTCTCCAACCACTTCTCTCGCAGAGATATGCCTTTTCTCTTATAGCTCCATGGGGAGGAGGATAGAGACTTACTTAAAAAAAAAACACGAAAGCCGGGAATTCAGAGAACCTCCAGTACAACCATATATTGATATTTTAGTACTACATTAAAAAAAATATTGCAAAAGCCCTGGTGTGCATGAGGGGAGGCACTTCCAGTGCCAGAAAAAAGTGACGCAGCTTGAAAGAGACGTAACACTTCACATAGGTTCATAAACACATGGATGGTGGAACTGCAGAGAGGTATGGGGTACGTGCATTGACCCTACTCAATACCAGCTGCAGCCCCCCTTGCCAGAAATGCTACCCTCGCCCCCCCCAGCAGCCCCGTGGTCCTTTCTCTTAATCCCTAAGCATGTGCTCATTTTGATCTTTTAAAAAATGCAGCCATGATACCAATATAAGCATGCACACAAAAAAATATAAGCATGCACACAAAAAAAGACGGGGCTTTGAAGCCATCAGTGACGACTCCTTTGAAAATCTTCATTATTTAAGGCGCACGCAGAAGAAAATAAATTTATTTATTTGATTTATACCCCGCCCTGCACAACTGTGAAAATGCAGAAGGAGGGCAGATGTGAGGAAGAAACATGCCCTAACCCAGAGGTGTCAAACTCATTTGTTATGAGGGCTGGATCTGACATAAATGTCACTTTGACGGACTGGGCCCAACAATACCAGGTATGAGATATATAAACTTTATGAAGGACACAGGCAAACACAATGAACAATATTATCTTTTAGTTAAAGTGCAAATATGCTTAAAACATTAACACTCTTACAGTATTTCTCTCCCTGATGCCCGGCCTCCCACTTTCACCACCCATCAATCATTAGTCCTGGGACAGTATCCAGGGACATAATGAACAGCCTCTGTCATCTGGCAATACAGGTAATGACCAGTTGCTTGTGGGCCGGATAAGAGCCCTGGATGGGCTGGTTCTGTATGTTTGACGCCCCTGCTTAAGAAGAAGAAGAGGAGGAGGAGGAGGAGATTGGCTTTATACCCTGCCCTTCACTACCCAAAGGAGTCTCAGAGCAGCTTACAAACTCCTTTCCCTTCCCCTCCCCACAACAGACACCCTGTGAGGTAGGTGGGGCTGAGAGAGCTCTGACAGAAACTGCTCTTTTTCAAGAACAGCTGTGCCAGAACTACGGCTGGCCCAAGGTCATCCAGCAGCTGCAAGTGGAGGAGTGTGGGAATCAAACCCGGCTCCCCCAGATTAGAGTCCGCGCACTTAACCACTACACCAAACTAGCTATTAACCTATTCCAATGCTTTTGGATCGACTACAACTGGGAACAAGCCCAGCATGCAGCAAAGCCCTCAGTCACTCAGTCAGAAATAGGGACAGCGACACCATTCAATAAACTCTATCTGAGGATACTGAAATCCAATGCATCCAGGCTACGGATACACAAAACACACATTTCTACAAACCTGGCGTGTGAGTGTGAGTGTGTGTGTGTGTGTGTAGGTGTCACCCAGCTTTTTAGGGAAATCCTAGGAGTAAAGAAAGGGACACTTGACTGCGCAACCCTCATGGCTCAGCCCTACCAGCCTTCTTCTTACCTTCCAAGGCATATTTATGATGTTCTTGAGAAGCTTCTCGACTTCATTAAGCCTGGCTTCTATGTCTTGAGACTCTTTAATTGTAATCAGTCCTAGAAATAAAGCAGAAAAGCCTGTGAGAACGTTCGGCTTCCAAAAATTTACAGTTTACATAGCTGTCAACATTATGTATTAGTATTTCATTTACACTGCATCCTAGATACCTGGGAGAGAAGCCAGTATATAAATATTTTGAATAATTTTAGATTACCATTTTAAATTAATTAAATTATAGATCATGGACAGTAGCATGTGAAGGACAATCCAGCATGTATTAACAGTTCAATCAACAAATAGGAATGTTTACTCTTTACAATGCTTCTATCCTGTCTTTCCATGCTACAGACCCACAAACATAAAAATGTCAATACAGGAAACCATGTCAAGCACATAAACAATTTCAGATAAAGCCAGCCAATAAAAGTGACAAGAGACCAAGAAAGTGAACCAGAAGCAACAGTGCAGATCTGGAAATGGTCTCGATCCCAAAAAGCCCTTGGATGTTTTAAGTTTCCAGCCTCTTACTAGCCCATCGCCACTTGCTTTGCAAGAAAGACATTAGGATGTTTCCTACATGGAGACTTTGACAAGCTTGTGTTTCAACTGGGCTTGTAAAGCAAATTTCCTTTCCAGAAGCCATAAATAAAGAAAAACTAACATTAGCCAGAGTGTTCATTGGCATTACAAATCCTCCTTCTTCACACAAAGGACCAGAGAGGACCACAGATTGCATATATATATGAAGATGCCTGTCATGGACTTCCCTGATAGACCTATGAAGCTTCAGGGATCTCCAAGGGAATGAAAGTCCCGCACTTGTGGTGAAAAGTGCCATCAAATTGCAGACAACATGTGGCAACCCCACGGGGGCAAGAGACATTCAGAGGTGGTTTGCCATTGCCTGCCTCTGCATCACGACCCCAGATTTCCTTGGTGGTCTCCCCTCCAAATACTAACTAGGGGCAATCCTACTTAATACCTCCTATCAGGACCATCTAAAATAACACGTTATGCTACCTTTCCAGCTCTCCAGAACTCTTCATCAGTCAGACTGGATGTTAAAACAAAATGCAGGGGGGGGGGGGCGCATGTCTCTCAGGCCATGATGCTGAGTGATCGGGGTCAACTACTTCTGGCCTTCTACAGGGCAAAGAGATGCTTTTAAACAATACTGAAAGACATATATTGGACTGACTTTAAGTTCTGATATATGATTTATTTTACAGTACTGCTCCCCCACCTCAGGGGTTAAGAGCAATGATTGGTTGGCCTTATTACCATTATGGAAAAATGCCTCTTATGCCTGTCGCCTGTTGCGAGATTTGGTGGCCAAGCCACCAAGTCTATCACCAGGAGTGCTTTTTTTCTGGGGGAATGTGCCAGAACAGAGTTCCAGAACATCTTCAACATAATTCTTTTTAAAAATGTTCATGAGTTTTCAGTGTTCAGACTGAAAACTTCATTTCCCTCTTGAGAGTTCCAGCACCTGTTTTTCCAAGGGAAAAAACAACCATATTACCCAGATACCTTTGCTGCAACACTTTCATCAATTGCGCCTTCTAAATTTTTAAATTACAATTTCAAATGGTAACTAGTCATTTATAAATGGGGATCCAGAGAATTTATGGGGCAGGGGACATCCCACCCCCTGGCCCCTGACCTCCCCTCCTGCTCTCTCCTCCCACCCCATTTGCCACTTTTCCTCCCCCGGCCAAGTCCCTGCTCCTTCTCTTCCCCTGGTTCCTCCTCTCTCTGTGCCCCGCTCTGCTGGTCTCACTCTTCCTTGAGTCCAGGGAAATTTATGACACAAGGCATTTGTTAGTGTGGCAGAGTGGTCAGAGGGTCAGACTAGGAAGGTAAAGGTTTCCCTTGCTTGAAGGCCAGTCGAATCTGACTCTAGGGGGCAGTGCTCATCTCTGTTTCCAAGCCAAAGAGCCAGCACTGTCCAAAGACGTTTCCGTGGTCATGTGGTTGGCATGACTAAACACCAAGGCGCATGGAATACTGTTACCTTCCCACCGAAGCGGTACCTATTTATCTTCTTGCTTTCGAACTGCTAGGTTGGCAGGAACTGGGGCCAGAGACGGGAGCTCACTCCATCACGCGGCACTTGGATCTCGAACTACCAAAGTACAGACCTTCCAGTCTGCGGTTCAGTGTCTTAACCTCTGAGCCACCATGGCCCCTGTGGCTAGGAACCCAGCTTAAATCCCCACTCTATCATGAAGGCTTGAACTGCCGCTCCTACACACTCAACCTAACCTGCCTCACCGGATTGTTGTGAGGATAAAAAGACAGAGAGGAGAACAATGTAAACCACACTGGCTCCCCACTGGGAGGGGGAAAGGTGGGGTTTAAATAAACAGAATAAATAGATTACATCTTCAAGGTGTCACAAGACTACTCTCATTTGCGCCACAATGTTTCTGGTACTTCTTTTTTATCATGACTTAATACATGACAATTGCTCTTAAACTTTAAAGCAAGCTAGGAATTTATTCCGTAGAATCAAAAAGGAAGTTTATAGAAAATCACACGCAAAGCCTCCCAGGTGGAAATGCAGATAAAAATTTCCACTCCAGGGTCATCCTACAAGTTATCCAGTAGAGGGTGCCAGAGCTCCATGCATCCCCCAAGAATCTCCCAGCAAAACATAAGCACCAGGCTCTCTCAAAGACGTGCATGATGAAAATATTACCCATTCTGCCAAAGGTTTTTTCCGCCTGGTTTCTTGTACATTATATGGCTCATTGTTTCCCACAATGGAGTATTTCTTTACTGCATGGATAAGAAGCAAGCCTATCAAATGGAAGTAAAAAACCTGGTAGAAGAAGTCTTACATCTCATGTGTAAGCACCCCCCCCCCCCCCATAGGACCATATACTCCGCATAGCAAGCTCTCCTTGTGTTCCCAGAATTACAAGCTCTTTGGGAAGAATGAATAACACTCAGTTTAAGCTTGTTGTATAACTACACCATTAGAGCTCCTTGCCTGAAAAGTATACAAGAAGAGAACAAATATGTTTCAAGAAGAAATGAACAACGGGTATGCAAAACATCTGGCCAATGTTACCAAAAGCTATTTAAATATTCATCATTGTCACTATTATATTATAGCCACCAGTAAAGTGGCAAATCATCAATACAACAAAACCAGGCTTCTACATATATTGGGGGGGGGATATAATTTCTTACATGAAAGAAAATGGTGACATTGCAAAGTAATGAAATCAATTTTAAAAAAAAACAAACCAAAATGCCAAACAGTCTGAATCGGACTGACTGAGCATGATCTAGGAAGCACGGAATATCAAGACAGCCAAGGATCAGTTAAATACAATTCATTTGGAAGTGAGAGCTTGGAAGGAGTAATACTGGTTTGATATGTACAGGTGCTCAGCTGCAAGCTGGCAAACATATACGCTCTAGAGCAATGTTCCCTCTAAGCTCTGGAGTCTTGTGAGCAAAAATTCTACTTTGTGAGCTACTGGCATTAAAGTTGTGAGCGTGCAGTTTGCCTACTGCATACATTAGTCTGCTCTGGAGCCCTCCTTCCTGAGCGAGGACAAAAATGTGTGAGCCGGAGGCTAAAAAACTGTGAGCTAGCTCACACTAACTCAGCTTAGAGGGAACACTGCTCTAGAGACTAACACCTTACCTTGAAAGTCAGTTTGGTGTAGTGGTTAAGTGCACGAACTCTAATCTGGGAGAACCGGGTTTGATTCCCCACACTTCCACTTGCACCTGCTGGATGACCTTGGGCAAGCCATAGTTCTGGCACAGCTGTTCTTGAAAAAGAGCAGTTTCTGCCAGAGCTCTCTCAGCCCCACCTACCTTTTAGGGTATCTGTTGTGGGGAGGGGGAGGGAAAGGAGTTTGTAAGCCACTCTGAGACTCCTTTGGGTAGTGAAGGGTGGGGTTCTCTTCTTCCATGCATCCTTCTTACATGAAAGACATTTCTGGAAAACCTTGCTATGCTGTCTTCTGTGGGCACTGAACTAAGATTAGAGCTATTACAGCTGGCATCTGAAAGGAGAGTTAACAGCTTTGGTTGTTTGTTTTACACTGGATACATCTTCCTATCCCATGTCTTCTAAGTCTTATGAATATATCATTGCAGAAGTGTAAAAACCATGTTGTAATACAGCAGGCTTAACTGAAGTTTACCATGTCCCCTCATTATTCTTTGATTACAAGAAATACTAGTTCGCACCACAAACCTTTCCCAAGCTCTCCCCAGGTACCGCCCACATTTTGTAGAGAAAGAGGTGCAAGAGCGCATTAGCATAACTTATTTGCATATGCCACACCCCCTGACATCACCGGAAGTGTGTCAGAAGGGAACACCCACCGCTCAGGCTCCACTGGACTGTTTTGGATTGCTAGCTATTGGGGGGGGGGGAACGTGCAGATCTGTCCTGGCAGAGGAGGGAGAGCTTGTACCTGAATAAAACTTGGTCTTAAAGGTGCCACTGGACTGTTTTGGATCGGGGGGGCTCTGCGACTTACCTGGCTGCTTCTTGCTCTGACTGAGGGCTGCTGGGAGCAGGGGGCGGGGCTTGTTGCATGTGCCCTCCCCGTGGGCTCTTTACTGCTGGAGCTCTGCTCCTGTGCGCTCCTGCAGGAAATTACCCCTGCTTTTAAGCTGATCTTATTCTTATTTATTTATTTATTTTATTTAAATTTATAACCCGCCCTCCCCTCTTTTTCTCACCATAGGACTCAAGGCAGCACACAGGAAACTGCAGGTCGTCCATCAGATACTAACCAGACCCACACCAGCAAGACTCCTATACCATGGAACCTCAGATCATACTGTGGGACCATAAGAGCTTCATAGGCATAAGGGCTAGAAACTTACAGCACCATCCTAAGGATAGTTCAACCCCTCCAAGCCCATTGACTTCAATGGACTTAGAAGGGAATGACTGTGTTTAGGATTACAGTATTACTTGGTTAAAGCAATGTTTCTCAGAATGCTTAATTCCATTTTTGTACAGTCATGTTTGCACAGAACCACATTATACCGATAGTGTCTACAGTTGATACAATGT